ATCATCATCATCATCATCATCATCATCATCATCATCATCATCATCATTACTATTATCATCATTATTACTATTATTATTATTATTATTATTATTATTATTATTATTATATTATTATTATTATTATTATTATTATTATTATTATTATTATTATTATTATTATTATTATTATTATTATTATTATTATTATTATTATTATTATTATTATTATTAACTTTATTATTATCGTTATCTTCAAATTTTGCCACCTATCCTATGCTGTTATATATTTATCTATATTTGGAAGGAACTAACCTGAAAAAGTTCTCTTGCAATTGTTAATCTTTATTTTTGTAACTCTAGGAAATGCATGTTTTTATGTTACGTATATATGACACATCAGCACAATATAGCTACATAGTGCTTAATCACAGTTAAGTTTTAAAAATAAAAATCAAAAATTAAAATTCCATACAAAATAGGAAAATATGAAAGACTATCTTTGTTTAACGGTAAACATAGATCAAAATAGAAACCTTGGGTGACCTGAGTGGTTACAGCATCCGCCTAGGATACGGGAGGTAGGAGGTTCGAATCCCGGTTGAGTGATACCAAAAACTAATTAAAATGGCACTAACAGATGCCTGGATTGGTTCTCAGCATTATGAGGTTAGTGGTGGGACTGTTTGGCCTTCTGTCGGCCTCAGTGGGACATGATGCTGCGTGTCTGGAGCCTGATGCCAAGTGCAGACATTGTAACGATGGGACTGAAGATTCTTTAAAGATAGGTTATAAAGACAAATCACATACACACATGCACATACACACAAAACGAAATATGGGTCTCTCCATTTACGGGCGTCGGTGACGACACAAAATGCTTTCTACACTGAAGTGTTTGTATAACATATCTGCTCGCTCCCCTACCTTTGCCCGACTACTCACCCCATTCCTTTACGCTGAAGAAGAGTAAATATAGAGCTAGGAGGCATTATAGGTTGATAATCCAATTTCATCTATACACGCCAATATACCCTACTACTACTACTACTACTACTACTACTACTACTACTACTACTACTACTACTACTACTACTACTACAACTACCACTACTACTACTACTACTACTACTACTACTACTACTACAACTACCACTACTACTACTACTACTACTACTACTACTACTACTAATACTACTACTACTACTACTACAACTACCACTACTACCACTACCACTACTACCACTACCACTACTACTATTACTACTACTACAACTACTACTACTACTACTACTACTAATACTACTACTACTACTACAACTACCACTACTACTACTACTACTACTACTACTACTACTACTACTACTACTACTACAACTACCACTACTACTACTACTACTACTACTACTACTACAACTACCACTACTACTACTACTACTACTACTACTACTACTACAACTACTACTACTACTACTACTACTACTACTAATAATAATAATAATAATAATAATAATAATAATAATAATAATAATAATAACAATAACAGCAAAAACAACAAAAACAACAACAACAACAGTAGTTGGGATTTATCATAGCGTCTGATCATCACAAGATCCACTGATTGTTTTAATTTAATGTTAACGTTGCTCATACCTGTTCTTTGAGGTTATAGATGTAAATGAGCTAGTCATTGCCTGGTGATTAGGATGGCTTCAGATTTATCACCATTCATCTACAACTTCTTGCATGTTATTTAAGACTGCATACATGAGATGCACCTAACTATAACTTCAATGACAGCATTGGTTAACTTCTCAGCTCGGCCAACAAAAATAGGTGAGAATGCATACCAATGGCTTCCTGTGTGTTGATGGTTCTACCCTGGGTTTCCCAAGTTCATCTATGTCAAATATAGTGACCGCCAAGTATAGCTGTTGATGTGTTTCAAAATGGCGTTAAGACTTCAAAACCCATAAACCCAATGATACCCCACGGTTTGAAGTCTCTATATTAGACCGCGTAGGAAGCGTTGCGCGACAATAGACGCATTATGCACAATCATAAGGACGATCATCGTTATATAATTAATATACGTCCCTTGCGCGACAGTAAATCATCATGTAAAAATCGGTGAGTTAAGGCAGAAAAATGCAAAATCTATGTTGTATTCAATGGAAAAAGAAATATATTTGATCGCTACTAATGCATGATACATAAGAAAAAAAAATATTTAAAGACAGTGTGAGATGATACTACTAGTACTACTAATAATACTGCTACTGCTACTACAACAACTACTACTACTACTACTATTACTACTGCTACTACTACTAATAAAACCTTAATATTAATAATGATAATAATAATAATAATAATAATAATAATAATAATAATAATAATAATAATAATAATAATAATAATAATAATAATAACAATTATTATTATTATTATTATTATTATTATTATTATTATTATTATTATTATTATTATTATTATTATTATTATTATAATAATAATAATAATAATAATAATAATAATAATAATAATAATAATAATAATAATAATAATAATAATAATAATAATACGAGATATAATGTCATTTCTCAAAGCAAGATAGTCTAAATACGGTGACCAATATAACTGGTGGAGGAAAAACGCAGGAAAAGCCCGGTTAAAAAAACGACCGATCAACCGGAAGCTACTAGCAAGATTCCGCACATACCAACACTAGCCGATCCCAACGCTCGAACCCTAGAGGACAGGGGTGAGTTATTAGAGACTGATAAAGGTAAACAATTTAGAAAATTCAGCCACTCGGTCCCAAATAATAATAATAATAATAATAATAATAATAATAATAATAATAATAATAATAATAATAATAATAATAATAATAATAATAATAATAATAATAATAATAATAATAATAACGTGCACGTATGATCACGAAGCCACTGAGTGTTTCTCACGCTTTTTATACATGCGTTATTATTGTGTGTTCCTCATGGTTTTGTACATAAGGCATTCATTATTATTTTTTATAGCAATAGAATAATTATTTCACAGCCATTGAGTGTTTCCTTTTCATGATAACCCATTTGTATTTATTTATATGTTAGCCAAAGTTTCTAAGTCTATTATTAAACAATAATTATATCAAATATGAACACACAAGCTATAATTGGTAAATATGTTTATGTGAAATGATAATATAATAAATTCTTGGTTAAATTAAGCATGGCTGTCCAAATGCAATCTAACACTGTAATGTCAAAGCAATTTGTTATTATTTAAAAGTGATGTATGTGATATTTGTGTCTTGACTTTTGTTACTGCTATATGATTTTCCAATTGTTATTAAATCAGATGAAATGTAACTTTGAGTCTGCTTTTAATAATTTGTCCACATCTTTCAGTAAAGTTTGCCCACTTCATCGAAAAATCACAGAGACCTCTTGGAGTTATGTTTAAGTTTATGTGGGCCTTTATTGTACAGAGATTCTATTGGCCACAGATATCATATTGAGTCACCGTATGCTTACCAAGCAAACAGCCAGCGCTCTCCCGTAATAATATTTTAAGCCAGTTCATATCCCAATGGACTGACCTCCAATTTCATGCTACGACTATGTTGTCTTAAATTAAATAGCAGAAAAGAGCGAAAACTAATAATTTTAGTAAACTGCAACAAATAATGTATTTACCAAGCGTACAAAGTCAAAGTTGTCAAAGAGCCTACAGTATTGTGAATTAAATCAAAAGCGGTATTAACACTTATTGTACAATTACAAAAGTATAAAGTATTTCGAGAGTAGTCCAGTGGTTTTCGGAATGAATTTCAGTCTTGATTTTGCTGGCATACGAATAGCCTGGACTGGTCTGATGTGCTAATAATATTGATGAATCACAATGATATAATCCAGAGTCTCCTTAAATGAATTCACAATAATCCCCGAATATTGATGTAATCGCAACGTACAAAAGACCACTTGGCAATTCCAATGAATAATGTAAATAAACATTTCTCTTACATTTAACTTGACACGACTAACTGAACACAACTATAAATCTTTAGATAGCAATAAACCATTCCGTTATAAAAACCTTAATATAACAACTTACAACACAATAAGGCTATTTAATATATTGTTTAGAACAATTATCATTACAGTTAAATCAGCCATATAAGTCAAACCCAATATTGATATAAACAACAACTAATCTACAGCTTATCTCTGACACATATGGTCTAAATCTTTGGACTATCTCGAACACATTCGCTTAATCCAACGCTTGTCTACGGTCTATTTCGGACATGTATTCTCTTTATCTACGGTGTACATCAGACATATTTTCTATTAATTTAAGATTTATCTCAAACACGTATTCTCTTTATCTACGGTCTGTCTCTCACATATCTCGTATCTAAAGTATATCTCAGACATAAAATTTCCTAATCAATGGCCTTGTCGTTGATAGTTTCTATAATAATAAAAAGTCTATTTTGCTTTAAATTTTAAAAATATGATAATTATATCATTCTGACTAAGAGATAACGGAATATGATATCACATATTTTATAAATATTCGTATATTAAAAATTTCAAGCAAGAAATATTCATGAAATTAATTGATTAGGTCGTACTAAATTAAGATATGCACGCCATATATACATTTTTACCTTTACAACAGGTATACTCTGACTTCAATACAAATCCCTTATTACCATACGTTAGTATATCTATAACATTTTTACTCTCAACATTGTTAATAGACAATGAAAAAAACCTAAATAAAACATATCCAATTCTCTCCGGTCAGAGTAATGTAATATTTGGTAACTATAAGGTATCAATTTGTGAATCATTTTCAATATAAATTGCAAAAATTATCAGAGGTTAAAAGATACTCCTGTTCGCTAGGAATAACGCATAAAATATTACAACGGTAGCCTTGCATTCACCTTTAGTTACATCGTGACGTTTGATGTTTGTGACGTTAATCGTTCCGGTAGTAACCGCTCCGGTGGCCTAGTGGTTAGAGTGTTCGCCTCGGATGCGGGAGGTTGTGTGTTCAATCCCAGGTTTAGTCATACCAAAGACTTTCAAAAATGTTACTAACAGTTTCCTCGCTTGGCGCTCAGGATTAAAAGGTTAGTGTTAGGAATGGGCGGACTGTTATCAGGATAATGTGACTGGGAGGGACTTCATGCTACATGTCTGCGGAATGATGCCCCAGTTCTATACATCACTATAAACTGCCTCATTGCAGACATCATAGCGATATGACTGAAAAATTATTAAAGCTACGTTAAAAATCATAATCATATCATATCACATCACATTCATGTAGTAACATATTGTTCAGTGTTGCTGTTGTTATCACTCGTACACGGGAATAACTTTGAGATAATTAACCATAGCATTTTATTCTTGACAATGATGTTTAGAGTGACTATTCTTTGTGTCACTCACAGCTAACACAGCAGTACCTGCTAACCATTCTTAATGATTATGATATACGGAAGATAATTGTTTGTTTCTAACCGAGAAAATGGATATTAATAATATGTAAACTATGAAATGCGTGTTGTGTGTGCGTATATATATATATATATATATATATATATATATATATATATATATATATATATATATATATATATATATATATATATAGTTATCACACTGCTAGAACCATCTCACCTTGTGTAAGTGTTGTGTTCTAGGTAGCTCCTTCAACCATTTATAATATCCTCAATGCAACGACAATAGATAATAAGCTGACTTTGTTTGGTATCCTAAGGCGAAAATCAGGGTGGGGCTAGAACAAAAACGGAATTGTGGGAATGCTCTTCCCTTGCAATTTCTTTCCATTTATGTTGATAGTTTGAATTGTGGTTAAAATATTCAGTTAGAAACTTGAGTCATATGTATGCATATTTGTGACTGAAATTAATTTATTTTTATGTTGATAGTTTCAGTTTTTGTTGTCTCTTCTCGTGTGTCACCTTTAAATACAACAATCATAGATATTTCTATACATTATATATGTGTCAAAAAGTATGACGTAGACGTATGTATATATCATTTGCACATTTATTCAAGTTGCCATATTATTTAAAAATGTTCATACATAAAGGGAATAATCAACAATCATTCAGAATCACCGGAATACTTTATTGGTATAGAAAGAGTCTCAGGACGATGGCGAATTTAATAATTGAATTTCTTGCTGAAAATTTAAATAATTATAGTTAATTGGGCGCTAATAAATAAGGGAAACAACCTATCCGGTGTCTAATTCCAGTATTAGACAGAGTTGTTTCCCCTGAAATGCTTGCTAAGCGATCATAATTTAGTAGTCGGCGCAGTATGTGGAGGAAAGTTATATTCGTCCGACGAACTCAAAAATGATCATCAATTTAAGAAAGGTTCGTATTTAAAGAGAAATATATGCATTCAATGAATGCACATACATTCATTGAACAAAATAGGTATGCTGTAGGAAACGAAATGTTCTCATCCACCTGTATTAGTTATAAATGTGGCATATGAAGTGACCCGTCAATTACCACGCACAATTAATATTAGTTATTTCGGTATATGTGAAGAAAAAAAAAGTAGACTTAAGCAATGATCACATGCTCAAATTAATAAGAAAAGCAATGATACGTGGCGACAAAACGTCACCAATTATCACCCAACACAAACCAAGCTGTATACCTGCAATATATCCCCATTTTAGGATAACTCGTTTACATTTATGCAATCAGAAGTTACCAACAAATTTTTTAAGAGGACAGGAACTAAATGTTGAATACATAATAATTCAAACTCACGAAAATGTATTCGTTGTTATGCAAAACAATGAACAATTTACAGAATGTTAGAGAACTTGTATATAATTTTTTTTTTAAATGAGGACAAATTCTTCAAACCAGAATTAATGCCTGTTCCATTGTAAATGTATGCATCAGTATATAACTGTGTGTATGTGTGTGGGGTGAGGGTGGTGGTGGTGGTGGATGAGTTGGTGGGTGGGTGTAACACGGAGTGTTGAAAAGCATATATTTCATTGCTTTATTAGATACTTGTTTTAAAGAAACCTACTTTCTAACATTTATAATACAATTTTCTGCTCGAATTGAGACTCAGTAGTTTGGAAAATGTGGATTGTATATGTAATATGCATAATTATGTATATATGTATATATGTATATATGTATATGTAATATGCATAATTATGTATATATGTATATATGTATATATGTATATATGTATATATGTATATATGTAATTAATATGCATAATTATTTATAAGAATTTGTTCTTACTCACGAGGCCCGCAACCTTAAGTATTTTATGTTTTGAAACCAAACCTAAAACATTTTTTACTCACCTATATTAGAGTGCAGTGTATCGTCGCCCATTGCTTGAGACGACATTCTTAAGGGTACTTGATACCAGAGGCAAATCATCCTTAATGGTTTGCTCTAGAAATAGGTACAGACGTTTTGTTAAGTATTGATCTCTCATTAAGTTTGAAATAATCATGTCACAGGATTATAATTGCACCTCTGCTCATTTCATAGAGAGTGTAAAGGGCATTCATTTTGGATCAGGCATAAAGCTAATTTATTAAGATAAGTAAGTCAAAGTAAAGTGAAAAATTATATCAAAGATTTACAGCAAAGTCTGATTAATATTAGAAATACACGATTTACTTTCTGATAATGCTCTTGTAATTCAGTTGCAAAAAATGAATCAGTAAAAAATGTGATGATAAAAGCATGGAATACTAGATGTGGATCTAGTATTATGCAAGCATAAATCTATACTTATTTTATAGTTCAAACAGACAGACATACAGAGAGCGAGAAATCTTCACGTTATTGAGAATTTGCATTTTTAAAAATAGCATGAAATGGATTTTGTGAATAATTGTCTATCAAATGATGCGATTACACCATATGCAAATTGATTTCTCCCTCTGATAAAATTTATAATCCATTTGTTAGAATCAATATTATCATCTTGGTGTTAACCATATGACAGTCTCTCTTTCACACAAAGAATACAAGTTTACTACAATTTATTTTTAATGACACAATCAATAATATACACACATTATACGTTGTTTCCCATTTCTTATTTATGATAACTTGTCACATGTCACATGACTACTTCAGGCTATCTGAGCATTTAAAGGACATAAGCGGTGAAGAATTGGAAGATATTTAATATTATTAGTCAAGTGTTCATTGCAAAAGCGAAGAAACAAACAATCTTGTAAACTGACAATAAGGAAAGGGTTTGTATACTGAAGAATCTAAATTCATGTATTGGTTGTTATTTAACAGATCGCTCCGGTGGCATCGGATGCGACGGTTCGCGAGTTTAAACCATAGCTGAGTCATAACAAAAGCTTATAAAAATGACACCAATAGCTTCCTCGCTTGGCGCTAAGTATTAAAAGGTTAGTATTAGGACTTGTTGGTTTGGTGTCAGGATAATGTGACTGGATGGGACATCATGATACATGCAAGTTGCCCAATTGCCTGACATCACTATACACTGTCACACTGCAGACATCGCAGCGATATAATTAAAAACTTATTAAAGCTACGCTAAAAATCCAAATCATACACACTTAATATTTAGAATATGCATCACGTGCCACCTTAACCCTGTGTCATTTCAATTAAAGTGTAACATTTCGAGATAATCAAATATGTTTTTATCAATGTTTTTCCACCAGATATTGATATCGTTAGATTCTTCTCAAAAGTCATTCCTTATCCACCCATCAAAGTCTTTATAAACCTTGGCTTGTATGTCCTTTTCGTGCAGAGCACGGCAAATGGTGCACGAGACGCAGTTTGGTGTATACTTCGTTTCATGTTGCATGTCGACATAGTTATTATAAAATGTATACACATATTCATTCTTCCAGGTAAAAGAACTGTTATACAATGTTTCGTTGCTGTTCACACTTTTGATCTACTCTCCAAATGACGCGATGTCAGGAAAATCAAAAAACATTTATGTAAGAGTTAGGAATCACTATTTTAGGATTGACATGCTTCCAGTTCACGATCGGTACCTGCTCTAGCTTTAGTCCCTACAAAAGCTGTTTTCAAATGCAAAATAAAACCTGTATTCTTTCATGACATCACCACACTCTTTCTTCTAGAGGATCATCGCTTTTGTATCCACATAAGTATCAGTAGCACTTTCCTAGCAAATCAATATCCAAGTATTTTTTTAACTTCTTTTACGAGGTGTATCTCCTTGCATAATCCTGGCAATTGCTGATTCTCACCACAGCAGTTCTTTCTTTCTTTCTGAAATAGTTCACTGTCCTTTGCGTCTTGTCCATTGGAATTAGTTTGTGTATTCTCCCATAAGGTTGAAAAACAGTTGAATCCGTCCTGTACGTCATTGTCCAATTAAAAAGTCCATTTAAGACTTCACAATTTCTTCAGAGATTCCCAAGTGGCTCCATATTGGCCATCACCCATATCTGTCTAGGATTGTGATATTTAGGAAAAGGAACTAACTTTGTTGTGTTCAAGATCCAGTTTTCTGTCCAAGTATCATACATATGGAACATAACTGCATCACTCATTTGTAGCTCCTTCCTATCGCCAGTAAATTGGCATTCATACGCACACAAAGAGCTACATGCTTGCTGATGTTTAACATACACATCTGGATTAATTCCAAAGAAATTTGTCCAGTATAGAATTTTCTGGATTTTCTGGACACCATGACTTCATTTGCTTTCAAAAAAACCTCCTGGGGAAGAGTCCGCGATCCGTCTCTCCATAAATTGCCCGTGATTTTCAAGAGGTAATCGAGGTACTGGTCGGCTTGGGTAAAACAAGTGAAAAAAAATCAGTGTATTGGAACAAAAAGAACAAATAACAAAAAGAAGGCAAACTTTGTAATGCTTCACTGGATATATGTGTAGCTTCTTAATCATTAGGGCGGGTTTCAGCGACATTTCCTCATTCCCAATATGACTGTATGTATATAATCCACTGTATTATTAAGGCCTATACTCGTGTCAATCTAACCGCTTGTTTAACCAAGTTGTTT